TAACTCAAGATAACTCAAGATAACCCCCCTACGTGTACATCGCTGCTAACCAAGGTCTGAAATTTGCCTGAATGAGAGCCTGTATTGCGCATGGGTTGCAGGGTCGTGTCATATTGCACTGTGTCTCATTGTATCCCATGGGGTGGTGGGGGGGGGGGGTGGGAGGGGGTCCCATTGCAACCATGTTGCAACCATGTTGCTCTGATGCTTCACATTACGCGTGACGCTGAAGGACCAATTGTGAGAGTAGTTGGGACAATTCGTTGCACGGTGCACCTGACCTCTTTCAATATTGCACAATCACGTCAATCGAACACATTTGCTAACACTCAATGAATATGCAACAAACGTGCGTTTAATGTTCAAGCCATCACAGTGTGATGGATCATTTTAATACATTTAATCCGAAGATATATATATTTTTAATTGCTACAGGAATATAGAAATAATATACAGGATTAGAAATTCATATATATATATATATATATATATATATATTATATATATATATATATATATATATATATTGAAGCAAATCAACTATATATATATATATATATATAGATATATATATATATAATATATATATATATATATATATTCTATATATATATATATATTGAAGCAAATCAACATATATATATATATATATATATATATATATATATATATATATATATATATATATATATATATATATATATATAATATATATATATATATATATAGTACATTGAAGCAAATCAACTATATATATATAATATATATATATATATATATATAATATATATATATATATATATATTCGTGTTAATCTGTGTGTGTGTGTGTGTGTGGGTGTGTGTGTGTGTGGTGTAAATCAGGAAAATTAACATGTGATTAACCCCAAAATATCATCAAATATTTCAAGTGTTGAGCATCAATGCTTAAGTAAAAGTATCAATTCATTACTTTTCCTCTCACGATAACCACCAGTCACTCTCACCATCACTCTCACCATCACTACCACCTTTGCTACACAGGAATATAATGAATGACTATATTGTGACCCGCTCTGAGTGTGTTAACTATTGCTTAATTACTGCAATATATCTAATCACTTACACACTCGAGAGTAATTCAATCAAACTGAACATCGAACGTAATGACTCAAGACACACACGACAACATCTCCTAACTAGAGTAAGAGGTGATTAAGGTGATTAATTAAGCCTTGAAATCATTAATTAAGCCTGTTCAAAAGCATCAACCAATTTACACTTTCCATTCACGTACCTGATCAACCAGGCTGTGACTCGTACGTCAGGCTGCGAGCAGCCGCGTCTAACAGCCTGGTTGATCAGTCCAGCAACCAGAAGGCCTGGTCGACGACCGGGCCGCGGGGACACTAAGCCCCGGAAGCACCTCTAGGTAACCGTATCAAATCAACTAAATATATGATGAACAGATCTATGATTAAAACATTACTCCTTTTATGATGATATTATCACTAATAACCTAAACTGTAATATGATTATTACAGAGACTTCTGAATACAGTGATAAGTAAAAGTTATCGTACTGCTAACTGTAGTTCATTGAAGTTTTTTTTTGTAATATGAGTTATTTATATATAAAAAAACATTGTGATCCATCAGCCTGTGATGATTGGTATAGTGCACAACAGGAGGGTGAAAGAGGAAAACGCCTCTTTTTCCCCTACAAAGAAAAGATTCCTCTACAGTTCAGAAGTGAGACGAACTCTAACCAGTCATCATCTATGATTCGCATGCTTGTACACTCTTGTACACTCTTGTTCCACTCTGGTACACTCTTGTTCACTATTGTACACTCTGGTACACTCTGTACAAATAGAAGTCGCTTCCTCCTGGTCAGTTCACTTAACCATCTCTTCTATTGGCTGAGGAGATTAATATTAGACCTCCCTCTTTCAATTCTCTCTTCTAACTTCTTCCCATTCTAAATCTCAACCCCATCTCCCCTTTCCATCTCTCACCCATTAACTCCTCTTAATGAGATGGTTTGGAAAAGGGAGGGGGAGTTGTAGTGTTATGATAGTGATTTTCATTTTGATTTTATGTGGTGATAGTGAATTTTCATTTTAATTTCATAGTGATTTTCATTTCGCCTCAAAATGAAAATCATTTTGATGGAGTTACCTCAAAATCAAAGGCAGTTAGAGGCAGGAGTCTAGGAATCACCAGGTCGGGAGTTCAAATCACTCCATTACTTCAAAAAAATGATTTTCATATATATACATTCTCCCGTCATAGAAATTATCAAGTACATTCATCCAGCATCCAGTCTAATACTGCATCCCGTCCCTTACATCCAGCATCCACTCCTCTTCCAGCCTCTCTGCCATCTTTTCCAGCATCTTGCCCCCTCTCATCTATAATTTCCTCTTTCTATAGACTCATTCAATTCCTTTCCCTTTTCATCTCATTCACCTACTTCTCAGTAACATTCAGTTAAATCATTTTCAATGTTATTGTATTCCA